TCATTTGTTCATAATGTAATTCCTATTGCTAGATTCTAATTACTAACATTTAAGGACTTTTGCTTCTATATGCATGAGTAATATTGGTTTGTAGTTTTCCCTTTTTATAGTCTTGTTTTGATGTTAGGGTAATACTGACTTTATAAAAAGACTTGAGAAGCAGTTCCTTCCTCTGCTATTTTCTGGAAGAGATTGTGTAGAATTGATGCTAATTGTACTTAAACATCTGGTTTTGAATTTAGCACTGTTCTATATATGGGAAGAAGCCAGAGTCTGGGTTCTTGGAAATCACTCCTTTGATATACACCTTAACCATCCAGGGTCAGTATCTGGCTTTTCTCCATCCTGAATCCACTCGGGGTGCATGTCTGGGGCAGCGGCAGTGGCTGATGGCTTGGTGGCCACAACCTTGTTTGCTTACTGATGTGGCAGGCAACGTTCTTGTTTATACCCCTATAATGTGGTGGTGGAAATTCAGAGCAGGGGAGTGTTTCATTTTGGCTGCTACTCTGTGTCTTTGTGTTGATGAAGACTTTGAAATAAGCATCATCTATGTGCTTTTCTGGAGAAGGCAATGGCACCCCACTCCAGTACTCTTGCCTGGAAACTCCCATGGACAGAGGAGCCTGGTAGGCTGCAGTCCATGGGGTCGCTAAGTGTCAGACACGGCTGAGTGACTTCACTTTCACTTTTCACTTTCCTTCATTGGAGAAGGAAATGGCAACCCACTCCAGTGTTCTTGCCTGGAGAATCCCAGGGATGGGGGAGCCTGGTGGGCTGCTGTCTATGGGGTCACACAGAGTCGGACACGACTGAAGCGACTTAGCAGCAGCAGCAGCATGTGCTCTTCAGGGTGGCCAAGACCTCTGTTGGGGCATTTTATATGCATCATTTAAGAGGCATCTACACCTCCATCAATTACATTTCACTATCCTCATGGTGGGCTCTCAAGCAAAAGGTGACAAGTTCACAGACTTCGGAGCAAGTGCCAAATACTCACACTCATCTCACTTCAAAGCCTATCATGATGGAATAAGTGACAATTCCATGCTAATTCACTAAGTCACTCACTTGTTTGACAAATGAACACCCATGACATACTGGGCCTGTGGGACTGAGATCAAGGAGTGCCCTCAACCATCCTACGGGCTGGAGTGGAGCTATTAAGGGAACAGTCTGCACCAGGGTGCAGTGTAATCTGCATTAGAGGTCCAGTGATTTGGAGCAGAGGGTTTCACAGCTCTCAGAGCTCACAGTCTGACGTGTATGAAACCCCTGCTTCCTTAGAGCCCTCCCTCTGCCAGCCCCGCCGATCCACGGGTAGGCATGGTCCCTTTCCTCTAGCAATGCTCCTGGTGGCAGACAGACATGTCCACGGATCTTTGTGCCATTTGGTGAGGACTATGCATGCGGACAGTGCTTCCCTGGGGGCTCAGATGGTAAGGAATCTGTCTGCAATGCAGGAGACCCCTGGTTTGATCCCTGGTTCAGGAAGATCCCATGGAGAAAGGAATGGCGACCCACTCCAGTACGCTTGCCTGGAGAACTGCATGGACAGAGGAGCCTGGAGGGTCACAGTCCGTGGGGTTGCAAAGAGTTGGACACGACTGAAGCGACTAACGCACACACATGCACATGGACGAGGGGTAGAGGGTGTGATGAGCTCGGTAGGGGGGTGTCAGTGAAGTCTTTGCTGAGAGTTAACGTATAAGCCCCCCTGTCCTGGAGGACATGCATCACGAGGCTGTCTTGTGGAAGAAAACAACACTGCAAAGGCACAGAGATGGGAGGATCACTGGATGCCTGAGAAGATGCAGACAGAGATGGGAGGATCACTGGGTGCCTGAGAAGATGCAGACAGAGATGGGAGGATCACTGGGTGCCTGAGAAGATGCAGACAGAGATGGGAGGATCACTGGGTGCCTGAGAAGATGCAGACAGAGATGGGAGGATCACTGGGTGCCTGAGAAGATGCAGACAGAGATGCGGACGATCCCTGGATGCCTGAAAAGATGCAGCTGGCCGTTGTGGTGAAGGGGCAGCTGAGGGCCTGTGCAGCTGGAAGGAGAGGCTGCCTGGACCAGGCAGGAGTGTTGCTGGAGCTTCGACATGTTTGCCGGTTCCCATTGAAATGAATGCCTGGTGGTTATCATCCTTCACATGTGTGGCTCTGTGATGCAGACCCTGAGATGCAGACCCTGTTGCCTGGATGTCTGAGGGAGCTTGCTGACCCTGGAGGTCTAGCCAGTCCTGGAGATCTGAAAGGCACGTGAGCCTTTCCTAAGCAAGCTAGCCCCCTGGAGCCCACGAGCCCTGCTCACCTCCTTCATGGTTCACAGAGGGGCTACAGCCCCTTCAAAGTGTGACCTGCTATGGAAAGTAGGGGGCAGATTGGGCAGATCTGACCTGGGAGCCCTCCAGGAACTGGCCGGGTCTTGTGATACATTTCTCTTTCTTCCCCTGGGTGGTTTGCTTTCCTGACCTGATACGATCAGGCCCAAGGCAGAGGGCAGAGCCTGTGGGCAGTGGTGAGACTGGCCGAGGAGGAGGGGCGGGCAGCATGGGGTAGCAGGACAGCTCCAGGCTCTCAGAGGTGGGCGCCCAGCCCGCCTCCCCCTTTGCAAATGTGATTAGGTCTCTGCAGAGCAGCTGAAATCAGGTTAGCATCTCTGAGCTGAGCCGCGTAATCAGAGCCTGGAGCAGAGCAGGTGCTGGGGTTAAAGCAGCTTCTGAGAATGAGGACAAGCTGCCTCACAGCCCTCAAAACACGGAACACACGGGCCCTGCCGTCCCCCAGCCTGGCACATCCTCCTAGGAGCCTGGACCCCATGTTGCCCACATGCTGTGGAGGGAGCTGCCCAGGGATGGGGTTGGTTGGAAGGGCCTCAGGCATGGCCCAGTGTGCTGGGTTCTTTAATGGCAGAACCAGAATTAAGAATACCTGGACTCTCTTCTTGGTCTGATCCTGCCTGTTTGTCCTCAGACCCCACGCTGAGTGTCTCACTTAAGCTAACAGTAAAGTAGGGGGTCCCAAAGACATCCATATCAGGAGGGTCCTGACGACTGAATATAATGTCTGCAAAGCTCGCAGACCTGGCTGAGACATGGTCTCAGCTGAGGCCACTCCCAGGACTGGACAGCGTTTTGTTCATTTTACAAAATGCTCCACGGCAGAGTGAAAATATCAATACTAACATAAACATCTCAGAATAAAAGGTGTAATATTAACCAAATCTCGTCATAAGAGTCAAACAGTACTAATATTTGGTGAAATTATTCTAGACTCACTGTCATATACACATTAATAGAAAACAATTTTAACAAGCGGATATTCAGGTTGCATTTTAAAAACAGGTGGTATGGCATTTATTTCCATTAGGATTTAACTGAGGAAAATGAGATGAAATGAAAGGAATTCCTGGATGTCAAAAGTGTCATTCCTAAGAGACTTGAGAAGATAATTTCAGGTGATATTAAGATGGTTGAATCATCCTGTGGTTTTGTTTTGTTTTGTTTTTAAAGCTACACAAGCTTTAAGATATAGACAAAGCATTTTATAGGTTTCATGTTCTACCTACCAAACCAGGACCCTTAGACAAAGCGTTTTGATATTCAGTTATATTTCTGGGAGGAATTGCAAACTCCAGAGGAAAATGGCTCACTGACTCAGATTCCCACCCAGTGATTCTTCTGGTCAGGATTAAGCAGGCCTGGAGGATGACTGGTGCTCGGACGGGGGCGGGGAGGGGTGTGAGGGGTGGGAGGACAGGGTCTGAGAAGCCGTGGGAAAGGGCAAAGGTGCAAGGTCTACACTCTCTGACCTTAGGCTCTGGGCACATCCTGGTCCAGCGCATTTGTGTTGTAAATGAGAAAGCAAACACCCAGCAGGCGTCCGCAGGAGGCAGAGCTGGGCCTCCATCTGGCCTCAGTGTCCCACCTGCTTGGCTTCGACCTCTGTGTATCCATCTTGCCTTTTCATTCTGGATGTCTCAGGAAGCTTGCTGACCCTGGCGGTCTAGCCAGCTCCTCGGCACCTGAAAGGAAAGTGCCCCTTTCCTAGGCACACCAGCCCTCTCAGAGCCCACAGACCTGGCCACACGCCCTGCGGGGCTCTGACGCTCCAGGCCACTGTTCTCCCGCCCTGAGCCCCCAGAGCCAGGGGCCAGACAACCAGAGCAGCTCTTGTGCCCACAGCCCATTGCAGTGATCTGAAATGACTCACGCTTGTCAGCTCTAAGCCTGCCTCGCCTGTTCCTTTCTGCTGGAACCTGGAGTTCGTGCCCACCCTTGCCCCTCTTCCCAGCCCTTCCTCCACCTCCTGCTCAACACTGGTGCTTCCCTGTGTGGCCCTGCACGGCACGGCATCCCCTCTCCCCGTGGGTATCACAAGCTATCCGTGCGGCGGCGATAGCCTCCCACACTCTTGGCCTTCCCTGACTATGTCTGCTGAGCCATCCCCGGGCAGAGCCCCACACCTCCCTGGTCAGACTGCTTTGACTCTGAGACACGTTTGGTTTTCATATCAAACACAGGTGGGCGTAGGTGAAATGCAACCAGGGAGGCCTCCAGCCTGGTTCTCAAGTTTACAGGCTTTGTTTTTCTGATCCTTCCGTCTCTATTCTCGGAGCACAGATAATTGCTGGAGGCTCCATAAAGGCCACACAGAGTGAATGAAATTTCAGTCTTGTCACATTGAAAGAGAAATTTCATTATTTAGACAGCACCCGCCACCATAGATCAATTAGGCTCTTTGGTTTTGAAAACATCAGATGCTTTTTGATCATTTGGAGGGTGTTTGCATGCAGTGAATGTTTCAGCACCCAATCTGTGCCAGCAAAGTGTGAGTTCCTAGCAACATGAACAAATAAGAAGCAGACCCTGGTCTCAAGAGCTTCATGGGTTTCCAGGGCTGGGCCTGGGGGTGTGGCTGTGTGTGTGGAGGTTACAGCAGGGACTATGACATAGGACTGAACAAAGGACATTTGCTTCTTACCCTCCAGGTGGTGGCTACACTGGGGACCACATCCTGCTGCTCCTTTGACAACCTCTTAGAAGTGGGGCCCATTTGTAAGTATTTGATTAAATTTTATTTGGAAAAAATTTTCCTGATATCCAAAGACTTTAGTGAACTATCTCTTTGGGCTCTCCTTCATATATTAATATTATATTATACCATTATATAATAATATATTATAATATTATAATAATATATAACTGACTCATTGGAAAATACTCTGATGCTGGGAAAGATTGAGGGCAGGAGGAGAAGGGGACAACAGAGGATGAGGTGGTTGGATGGCATCAGCAACTTGATGGACATGAGTTTGAGCAAGTTCTGGGAGTTGGTGATGGACTGGGAAGCCTGGCAGGCTGCAATCCATGGAGTTGCCAAGAGTTGGACATGACTGAGCAACTGAACTGGCTGATACTATATTATATAAATGTAATATAATTATATAGTAATACACCATATTATAATATAATGTTAACATCATGAAACTTACTGTGGGATAGTCTGCCAAACTCTTCTCACATTTACAGTGAACTCCAAAAACTCAGAACTTGGGCTAATTGGACAACAGTTAACCTTAGCTGTACCAACACAGTGTTAGTAAGTGAAATACAACAGTGATATCAGATCGTAAAGGCTGTGTTGTTCCATTGAAGAGAACCAACTTTGCAGATTCTCAGAGGGTTGTGTGTGGGATGGCAGGAGAGTTTCCTGTCCTTGGAGTAAATCTTCCAGCATTTTTTTTTTTTGCCTTCTTGGAATTCCTGAATATAGGTGAGCAAATTAAAACAATTAAGCAAATAAATTTAAACAAACAAAAAGACTAGATTCCTCCCAAGAAGAAAGTGAGCTTTGTGTGTTTACTGGGAGCCGCCCTGGAGAAGGGAATGGCAACCCACTCCAGTATTCTTGCCTGGAGAATCCCGTGGACAGAGGAGCCTGGCGGGCTATAGTCCATGGGGTCACAAAGAATCGGACGCGACTGAGGGGCTAACAGTTCACTTAGCTTCCCTCCTCCCTCAGTGGAGCATTGAGGTTTTCTTAAACAGAATTCAGAGAATTCAAAAGTGAGCCGGGAATAAGTGGCTTGGACCTGAGGCTCTAGGAACGCAGCAGGGCTTTCTCTTGCTGGAAGGCCTCTCCTCAGGCAAGGGCCCGGCTTATGAGCAGCCTTTCTGTCCTCAGGGCAGGAGAACCAGCTCCTTAACTTCAGGCAGAGCCGCTGCCCAGGGCATGGGGAAACAGGTGGCAGGAGCCAGCTGGAGGGCCTAGATGTTTCCTGGCCACGCTGTGGCTTGCGCCAGGCATCCAGCCGTGTGCTGGGCCTGGCTCACTGCCCATTTGTGGAACTCCAGGGGCTTCTCAGCTCTCCTCACCTGGGTCCACCTGTGGACCACACTCAGGGGATGCAGGAGTGGACCATCTCCCCCCACCATGAGTGATGGCTGGATGGTGTGCGTTGAGCCGGCCGCAATCACAGCATCAGTGCTGCAGCCCAGCCGCCCTGTGGCTTCAGTTCTGAGCTCTGCCCCCGTCTGCAAAGTGCAGTCAGAAGCACTTGTCATTGTGAACTGATGGGATTCTGAGTGACTGAGTTAACACGCAGAGAGGGTGCGAGGCAGGGGGGTGGGAGGAGCCCTCGGGATCCAGATGTGGAGCTGTTGGCTGGCCCACCAGGTAGCCGCGGGTGCTCATGGCCTGTCCCCACGGGCGCCAGCTCCCCAGCCATGACCATGGCAGATGTCTGTCCCCCCCACTGGCTGGAGTCAGAGGCGCAAGGCTGGGGTTGGGGGCCAGGGAGGAGGGACAAGCTGGCTGTGGCCATAGGCGTGGCTTCACGAGCTGCACAGCCTGATCCTGGGCCAAGGCGCTGGGCCACTGGATTCAGATGTCAGGCCGGGAACTGGACGTCCGGGCCCCTGGCCAGCTGATGGCAATCCACGGCTATCAGATTAGAGGGCTGAGAGCCCCACGGGGCACAGCCCACAGGACCCTGCCCCCCAGCACAGGCTGCTCTCCTGTCCTGGGGCTCCCAGGGCTGGGGGCTGGGGGAAGAGCTGGATCAGTGAGGGGCTTTTGGTGCCAAGTGTAGGGGCTGTTCCCGGGGGGCCGAGGGATCCAGTGAGCACCACCACCCTCCACTCACTGCCCAGGCTTATGCATGAGGGCAATTTGGACAATTCTATTTATTATTGGCAAGGCTCTTACTAACCATGGGTGGTGTCTTCACAGTTGAATGAGCACCTTTTACCTGCTTGCCCTCCTCTGAGTGTTGTTTTCTTGCTTGTCACCAAATATTTAGCATTCTTCAACTTTGGACAAGACCAGGTCAACCTTGTTCTATAGTGCGATCAGAGGAAACCATTAAAATAATTCAGATTAGTCATCTTGGCCAGTATTTGACCAAGAGGCTTATCAGAACCTGGTTTTCTCCCAACTGCTGCCCAAGGTGCTTTTTAAAAAAACAATATTTACTTATTTATGTATGTGTTTGGCTGCTCCAAGTCTTAGTTATATCACATGGGATCTTCAGTCCTCATTGAGGCATGTGGGATCTTTGGTCTCAGCATACAGACTCTTTTTAAACTTGATTCTTTCTCTGCGGCTGCACTGGTTCTTCACTGATGTGCACGGACTTGCTCCAGCCGCGGCCGGCAGGGCCTCTGTTCAGTTCCTGGGCGCGTGCTTCTCCTGGCGGGGGCTTCTCTCGTTGCAGAGCGCAGGCTCCGGGGGCCTTGGGCCTCAGTAGCTGTGGCCCCCGGGCTTAGTTGGTCCACAGCACGTGGGATCTTCCTGGACCAGGGGTTGAACCCATGTTCCCTGCATTGGCAGGTGGATTCTGAACCACTGGATGGTCAGGGAAGTCACATGTGAACTCTCTGTTTACAGCATGTGGGATCTGGTTCCCTGACCAGGGAGAGACCCCTGCATTGGGAGCGCAGAGTCTTAGGCACTGGATCACCAGGGAAGTCCCAGGAAAGACACTTTCTGTTTAGTTTCTTTTGAAACAATTTGCCAGTGAGACTGTTTCAGTTGGTCATCTTGGAGTGATCAGTGGGAATTCCTGGTAGATTTTATTGAGAAAAGGATAAGAAACAGAAAGCAGAGAGTTGAAGGCAGACAGGCAGAAGGTATGAAGGTGGGAAGCTGACACGGAGGTCCCCAGGAAGGGGAGGAGGGGAGGGGATACAGGGCAGGCAAGATGGAATGGCTGGTAAGGATGCAGTGGACACTTCCAGAGGGCTGCTGCTTCTGTCCGTGGGGCCGTGGAAGCCTTGTAAGGAAACATGCAGGCAGCGAGAGCTCGAGAGGGACAGCGGCTGCCTCCTCCCTTGTGGCCGGAGAAAGCTCCCTGTCCAGGCAGCCTCATCTGGGTGCTGGCCTGATCCTGGGGCGTGCAACTCCTGTGTTCCAACCATGGGGTCTCCAGGACCCCAGGGCTAGGAGGCAGGTTGTGCTGTCAGTCAATCACATGTAAGACTCAGGATGTGGCCATGGTAGCCTTGGCTCTTCCTTTCCTCGTGGAGAGAGGAGAACCCCATTGGGAATCCACTCAGCAAGGGTATCCAGAAGTTCCTTCTACAGGAGTTTATGTTTAGTCTTTTCCTTTCTCAATTGAAATGTTGTTGAGATAATGATAGAGCCACATGTATCTGGTTCAATCACTTCATCACATAGAGAAAGGGATAAAGTAGAAACAGTGACAGATTTTATTTTCTTGGGCTCCAAAATTGCTGTGGACAGTGACTGCAGCCATGAAATTAAAAGATGCTTGCTCCTTGGAGGGAAAGCTATGATAAACCTAGACAAACATATTAAAAAGGAGAGACATCACTTTACCAACAAAGGTCCATCTAGCCAAAGCTGTGGTTTTACAAATAGTCATCTATAGTTGTGAGAGCTGGACCATAGAAAAGGCTGAGTGCTGAAGAATTGATGCTTTTGAACTGTGGTGCTGGAGAAGACTCTTGAGAGTTCCTTGGACAATGAGGAGATCAAACCAGTCAATCCTAAAGGAAATCAACCCTGAGTATTCATTAGAAGGACTGTTGCAGAAGTTGAAGCTCCAATACTTTGGCCACCTGATGCGAAGAGTCAACTTGTTGGAAAAGACCCTGATGCTGGGAAAGATTGAAGGCAAGTGAAGAAGGGGATGATAGAGGATGAGATGGCTGGATGGCATCACTGACTCAATGGACATGAGTTTGAGTAAACTCCAAGAGTTGGTGATGGACAGGGAGGCCCGGCGTGCTACAGTCCATGGGGTCACAAAGAATCAGACTTGATTTAGCAAATGAACAACAGAGCCACATAATGACAACCTCTGTGTACTTTTCCCAGTTTGTTCTGATGGTAACATTTTGCAAAACTGCAGTACATGTCACAACCAGTCAGGGTGTGTCCCTGGGCTGTCACAGGCTGGCAGGAGGCTGCCTACATTTCCTGGCCCCTCCGGGAGATCCAGTGAGTACTTGTAGTTCCCAGTCCTCCAGGACTCAGAACTGATATGAAATGACCCAAAGCCCCATTTTAAGCCCTGCTGTTACACTGTCTGGGGGATGAGTCCTAGCAGACATGGCCTTCCCCTCCCCAGAGCCAAGGGCAAAGGCCAGAGCTCCTTGGGGTGAAGCTAGTTCTCTCTGCAGCCGTCTTTCTGGGGACCCCCTTCCCACCGGAGGCCCCTCTGCCTTTCCCCACCCACTGCTCCCTCCGAGATCCCCTGTATCCTCTGGAGTGACACAGCCCTGGGGGCTGGCATCATTCCAGCCCCCTCCTTGGGGTCTGAGGTCAGATCTCCTCTCCTCTGTCTTCCCAGGCAAGGCCCAGCTAAGGGAAGGGGCTGTGGTTTCACTGTGCGACAAGCATCTTTCTCACGGGGTGAGGGCTGAGGGGCCCCCCCAAACTCCATCCCCCTCCTCCCGCCCTCGCAGCTGTATTCCTTCCTACCTTGTCTGCCTGAGCTGGACACAGACCCTGGCATCTGTCAGACGCTACCCAAGTGCCTCTAATAGAAAATGCAGTTCTCTGACAGCGGCCTCCGCGGCCCCACGGAGGACCCAAGCTCGCCCTGAACTTTTGTGTCCATCCTGTACGCGTGTCTGAAGCTTCTCCCTCCCTCAGTAGAGCTGAGCTTTAGCAACGACCAATGACAATGTTCTGCAGCGGAGCTGGCCCTTGTGTCCTTTCATGACCCCATTTCTCCTAAGGCTTCGTGCCCTTTCCAGCACACAGCAACATTATGGGGGGCTCTGAGGGCACCCAGAGGCAGGCTGGTCTGTGTGAGGCATTTTAGGCCTCACCCAGTGAGACCCTCTGTTATTGACCATTGTCCCAGGACACATTTGAGCTTAATCCAACTGAGAGCTTTCGTTCCTTCCATCCTGAAGATCAAACTGAATCATGGCTTTGAAATGTCTCTTCCATCTTTTATCAGCAGAATTCAGAAGTGCTCCTCACTCCTCATAGCATTTGTGTGTGATGAACCAGCATCACACAGGCAAAAGTGAACTGTGAATCTATTCACCTGCACGGATGCATTGGTGGGTCCTGACCAGCCCCTGCAAGGGTGCTCTGATCCAGGTTTCCTGGGGCACCATCTGCCCCCATAAGGGAAGGAGCCCACCCCTTGATCTAGACCCACCACCTCTCCTGCTTGCGTGTTTCACAGCTATGGGAAGCCCCCAGTGTTGAGGCTGGGAATAATCACAGTGATCACGTCATTCCTTGCTGAGTCTGTCCTCCTGTCGTGATGGGTACAGTATGAGTGCCATCTGGTTTATCCCTCGGGGTCTGAGTGCTGTTTTATCTCCATTTACTGAGAGCAGAGCGAGCATACAGCATGGCAGTAAGGCCACAGCTGCTGGCACCTGGGGGAGGGATTTGAACCCAGATGCACCCGAATCGAGGGAGCACGTTCAGACAGGACTCTCCCCCAGCTCAATGCTAGAAGGTTCCTGTCCTGTGAAACCCTTCTCGGGTGGCTGGAACCCAAGATTCACACTCATGAAAGGAGCTGAGAAGATTCAGGAAGCATAAAATAGGTGCCTGAACTTCCTGTGGGGATGGAGGGGGGCAGAGAGACCAGTGGGGACTGTGGGTGGTCCCAACCTCAAGAGATGCTTGTGGGAAGGGCTTCAGAGCCCAGAGAATTGGAAAGAAAGTTTGCAGTGAGTGAGGCGGGCAGAGCAGAGCAGAGTGCATACCTGGAGTGGATGTGGACAGCGGGATGAGAGTGGGGTATGCTGGTCTCATGGAACTCTGCTGGGCCTGAGGGTCAACTCCGAAAGTCCAGGTGCTCCCCTCGCCTCCATGCGTGTGCTGCGTACTGGTCCCCGTGCCTGGTGCTGTCGGGCCAGCAACAGTGAAGGGCTGCTGCCTCAGCATCACCGCCTGTCAGGGACGCAGGCCTCAGACCAACAAACACTATTGACAGACCATGTTCAAAAGGTGCCGGGATGGGACAGGTGCTTGACTCTGGCGCGGGGACACCCTCCAGGACTCACAGGTCATTTCTGGGCTTCAGGTCACGAGGAGGGCTTGTGGCTGCATGTGGACGCCGCCTACGCGGGCAGTGCCTTCATCTGCCCTGAGTTCCGGCATCTTCTGAACGGCGTGGAGGTGAGTGTGCTCTTCAGCAAGATCACTTTTATTTATTTACTTATTAATATTTTTATTGGGGGGTAGGTGCTTTACACTGTTGTGTTAGATTCTGCTGTATAGCAAAGTGAGTCAGTTAAACATGCTCAGTGCTCTGCGTGAGCTCAATGGGCAGGAAATCATTTTTAAAAGTCACACTGTCATCAGTGATTTGTCTTTATAAGAATGTGATACTTTTATTTTTCACTACTGTGGTTTGTTTCAGCAAGCGATTTCCATACCCATTTCTGTGCTGATTAGAAGTTACACCTCCCTGTGACAGGGGGTGAGAACCTTCCTGGTTCCAAAACCTGTCTTCTCAAAGACACACCTGATGTTTATACTATTTCTCAGTCTACAGATCCTGGGCAGAGCTGCCATGATAGGGTAGATTTTTAGTTCATAAGATGATGGGAAAATATTTAGGAAGAAAATAAAACTCTTAATGCATTTCAGATCAATGGGTAGTTTTTAAAAACCAGTCCACCATTCCATTCAGTCTAAGTCAATCTCACAGTCGTGTTCTGATCATGCAACTGAGCATGATGTTCACGTTCATAGAGATGGAGTGAGCAGCTATCAGTACATTTAAATGTCCCATGCACACTTGGAATTTGGAATATATGGCCTGTAATGCCTCCTAAAACATCTGATTCTTTTGAGAAACAGAAATCAAAACGGTTGGCCGATGGTCTGCTTCTCCAGGGTGCAGACTTAACACACGGAGATTATCTTAGGGACAAATCCTGATAAATTATTCCAGACCCAAGCAGGTTTTCACCGTCAGCAGCTCCCAGGGCAGGAGGTTCCTTCTTGCCAGGGTCTCAGATGTACATGCAGCGAAGGGCCCAGAGCAGCAGGCTTTGTCAGTAACGACTTCATGCTCAGAGGCAGGGGTTTCTTGAGACCATGGCCTCAGTGGTGCAGGAATCAAGGGTGTTGTCTTGGGCTGGAACAGCTGGTTTGCATCCTGGCTTTGTGTCAAGACCAACCATGTCCCCTTGGGCAGCCTAGTAACCTCTCCACACCTCACAAAATGGATTTCATAATCAAGCCTCCTTTGAGGGGTTATTATAAAATCAGAAGCATTAATCATATTTAAAGAGCTGAGAAGCAGCACCCACACACAGCAAGCTATGCACACAGTACATGTTATTCTCATTTCCCACTACAACCCGGAGAGACTGTCCCTCCAAGCCTCTCTCTGATCTGTTGTCTGCTGCCAATCAATTTTCTAATGAGTGATTTGAATTCTTATAATGCCATAATACTAGAAAAGTAGGTATCAGTGGTATATAATACAAAATTCTCATCTTTGAAATGAGTAATCCTTTTGTCACTAATGAATGAAGGTGCATTCTGGTTTATGCCTCCATCACATCCATCCATTCACTCACTCATTCGTTCGGTAATTACTTATTGATCTCTGAATGTGTGCAAGTGCTTAGATCAATCCTCGGGGGTACATGGAGACCTCTGGAAATCTTGGGAAGGGGTGAAAATACATGAGAAATTCTGGTAACAGCGTGCTCACACTGACTCCTATAGTTCATGGCTGATAGTTGGGTGGGTGGGTGTTTGGTGCTGGGAAATAAAGAAGAAATCTCTCCACCACGTAAATACTTTTTGTTGGGGTCCTATGTGTGATGATATCACTGGGAGTGTCTCCCTCCCCTGGGGCCTCAAGAGACCAAGGGCAAAGCATCCATCAGGATGTATGTGCCCCTCCCAAGGTCTGGTTTTTTCCAAGTGTCTAGTGTAGAATTTCATGATCTGTTCCCACTATACCTCTTCTCTTCCCCAGGAACCAACAACTCAAAGTTTCACTTTCCTGAGGTGGTGTCAGACCACCACAGTGGTGGGGCAGCACTCCACCCATCTCTCTGCACTGAGTTCCTATCAGTATCAGATAGGATTTCACACCCAACAATGAGTAATGCCATCCAACCTCCTATGGTCCCTGGGCTGGGAGGGCTGGCCGCTCAGCTGGCAGATAAGGGACTGTAATATCCTGTCTACCCGGCCCAGCCCTGCTGATAAGCGCCTTCCTCTCCATCAGCAGGAAGAAACATCCCTGTGGGTAATGAAAAAGCAGTTTAAAGAGATCAGCCCCCAGGAGGGAACTAATAAAATTCCTAGCTAACAAAGCCCTTCTTTTACCTTTTGTTTCTCATTATCAACAAATGAAACTCGTTGTCATTTCCTGCCTCTTTCTCAACTTTGCTTTTTATTGGAACCTGGAGGGAGATGAACCTGCGCCCTGGAGTGGGTGGAGGGGTGAGGTGGCCATCGGCAGATCCAGGGTCTGCCCTCCGGCCCCCTCTGGCCCCGGTGTTCTCCCGCCTCCTCCTGCTCCTCCCTCGTCAGGATGGAGGAGAGGTGTCCCAAAGCCTTGGGGAGACTCTGAAGCTTCCCCCTAGGAGATTCCTCCCAACTGGGGTCTTGCCCGGCTGCTGTCATCAGTCCGCTCCAGTTATAGATACAGGCACATGGCCTCAGGGGGACTCAGGTCCTGTCACTCAGCCATAGGCCAAGCCAGGGGCATGTGCTCTGACAAGTCAGGGAAAACACAGACTGCCCGAGTCAGTCTTCGTGGCTGAAATCTCTTATTTGTCCTACTTGAAAACAGGTTGACACTTGAACTTGACGAGTGACCCTAGAGCAGTTGTTGGCAGTTGTTACCACTGGTGTCCAGAGACCCTCTCACTATTTTGAGTATAATGAATGTGGATAGTGTCTTTAGAACGAAGAAGAAAATATTTAGATAAACAAGAACAGTTGTTGCTCTATTACATCCATATTGGTAAAAGAACCATCCAATTCAATGAAAAATGGGCTGATCCTGATTGCTGTATATTAGTTATGATATTTTCATTTCCCATTGTTGATCATGGTATGTATACTCTGAGAACTTTTCTAGTTCATAAAGTTTGGGAAACATGCATAAAGTATTTTCTAAGCTGAGTCAGTCCAATTTTCTGCCGTAGCACCTGTGAATTAAAATTCTGATTGTCAAATAGTCTAGTAGTGTGAAGTGTGGATAAATTTTATGTGACTTTGGAGTATGCAAAATTGAAAGCACACAACATAAAATATGAATAACATCTCATTTTATGTGGAAAAGTAGAACTATGACTTTCCTCAAAAATGAATTGGGATTCACCAGTGTCAAAGCAGGAGAGCCCACTGAACTATAAAGTGTGTTTGTGTTGCTTCTTGTGGGTGGGCATCCTCATGGATGATAGAAATGTCCCATGACCTTTGTCAGGGTCGGTCTTGGACTATGCTTTTGAAATTCTGCATGTTTTATATTATCCAAGGTCCCTGAAACGCATCCCTTGATCCAAATGGGATAGCCCGACACCAAGTTAGGATTAACACATTTATTTTTGCATATATATTTTAGGAAGGCCTTAGATATTATCTAATTCCAATCCCTCACATAAATTCCCATAGAAAAATGCTGCTGCCACTTCAGTAAATAAAGGGTGTTGCAGCCTTCCAGACATCACTTCACAGCCGCCCCTGAAAGTGAGCCTTGTGGTGACTCAGGATAGGAATGCCCAGCACACCGGCCCCAGGTAGCTGGGATTCCCATCAAGGTAACAATTTCAGTGAGCCCAGACGCATGCATCTTTCCACACAAAGAAAAGTCCTAAATTCCTTAACTCCACATATGTAGTTTCCTTGGCCTGTGTGATAAGTCACTTCAGTCGTGTCTGACTCTTTGCGACCCTATAGACTGTAGCCTGCCAGGCTCCTCTGTCCATGGCATTCTCCAGGCAAGAATACTGGAGAGGGTTGCCATTCCTTTTCCAGGGGACCTTCCTGACCCAGGGATCAAACCCTCATCTCCTGCGGCTCCTGCATTACAGGCAGATTCTTTACCACTAAACCACCAGGGAAGCCCTTGGTTTTCTTTAATTGACAGTAATCTTCTGATGTTCCAACTACCTGATATTTGTTGCAAAAACCCCTATGTAGCTTGGCTTCCCCTTTCCCTTTTCAGGGCAGTCCCTGAAATGCGGAGTGGCCTGAGATGCTGTCTTCTGGGCTTGGAGTCCTGGGAAAGCCCGTCAGTATAAAGCATAACTCTCAGCTTTTAGGTTGTGCTTTTTTTTCAGCCGACAAGCTGGTACCTTTGTGCCCAGTGGACCACAGTCTTGCTCTGGTTCTGTGGGTGCCCCCTGCAGGGTGCCCCCAAGGCACATCCCTACCAGCTCAGCGAGCCCCCCCCCCTCCGCTCTTTGCGGGGAGCCTGGGTTAGGGCTGCCTGTGACGTCATTTTATAAGCCCCGCCCAATGGCTGCTCTCACCAGCTCTCTGGACTCAACCAGAGCCGCTCGAGATCATAGCTGCTTTTTCCATGCCATGGCTCCCCTCCTGTGTGGCCGGCCCTACAACCACAGAGGGCTTACAGGATTTGCCCCAGACGGCTTCTGCGTCACCCTCAGGACCTGCGCTGAGGCGCCCACGGCTGTTGCCTCAGGACTTTCCCACGAAGCAGCACTCCCAGACAGGCACGCGGGGAAGCAGTGGTCCTCAGATGCCAACCCAGATCCTCTTCCTCCCTGTGCCTCAGCCCAGAGTCAGACACATTAGCTTCACGTTTCGTGAGGTAGGATTTGAAATGAGTGGAATGGGCTCAGGTAGGTGGGGTAGCTGCCCAAGTGCCCACGAGCCCCAGCCCCACAGTTTCACCTGATTCCCATTCTGTCTGACTGGTCAGACTACTTCTATCTGAGAATGCAAACTGTTAATTACTATGCATGAGGTCTTGTTTTTAGCTAAGCATTAATGGCTGAAGTGTTTCCTTTTTGTTGTTTTTATTCCTTGGCAGTTTGCAGATTCGTTTAACTTTAATCCCCACAAGTGGCTCTTGGTGAATTTTGACTGCTCTGCCATGTGGTAAGTCTCCCTGTTCATTAGATGTCAATTACCCTGCAATTATCCTGCTTCTTAGACAAGTTTATATGAAAGAAACCTGGCAGGTGAAGTGACATTGCTGGGGAAGCACATAAAACACTACCTGCCTGCATTTCTGCACAGTGGGTAGACTTCTTGCTAAATCTTACCCTGTCGTATGCTGTCATCTAGAACATATTGGCACAATAGAAGTTTAACAGAGAAAATATCTGATCTAATTTACCTAGTATTAACAACAAAACAATACAAATTAACCTTAGCACATATTTGTAATTCATTTGCTTCTATGTTTTTATTCTTAAATGTTTAATAAATCTAAGTCTAAATGCTTAAAAGCATTTGCTAAGCAAAAAGAAAAGTAGTTCTATTTTCTAAGAAGTTCCCTGGAAATTCTTAATAGCCATACCATCAGCACATTGGTTATATTTAGAGCAAGAAAAAAGAATTCAGAAATTAAAGGGGATAACATTTCACTGCACTGATGATGTTTAAAGAAATTATGAAGACCGGAGTAGAATGGGATCATTAGAAAGTAGTGCTTCTTAGTTTATTAGAGTAAGAAGTTGGTTAATGAATCCTTAGATCTAGTAGTTTTGCATGAATTTTGTGCAAAATTGTTTATTGCTTAATTAAAGGAATGGATTTCCACCTTAAAAAGCTGAGGAAAGTAACGGAAGTCGGCTCCCCAAGCTCACCTTAACTTACCTTTCTAAAGATAAGCTGCATTCAGTGCATGGTCATTGATTAGTCACTTAAGTCATGTCTGACTCTTTGCCAGCCCATGGACCGCAGCCCGCCAGGCTCCTCTGTTCATGGGATTTCTAAGGCAAGGATACAAGGATTTCCACGGGATTTTCCCAGTCTGGGAATCGAAACTGCCTCTCCTGCACTGGCAGGCAAATTCTTTACCACTGAGCCACTTTTAGGTCTGTTTAAATCGTATTTCCTTTTTTGTCAGTCTTAGCCCCAAACTCTGATACATGATTTTAAAACCCGTTTGTATTTGGGCTAAAGTTTGTCAGAAATGCTAATAAGAACTTAAAATAGCTTTTATGAATCTTAGTATTCTTGTGGTTGTGTTTGCCTATTTTACCTAAAGGAGAACACTTTGAGGATAGTTTGTATAGCATGTCAAAACTCCCCTTTCTCTAACTTTAAATTCGGTTGAGATGGAATTCTTTTCTGCTGGGGTATTTGATCAGGTACAGACACTGTCCAGGGGCTTCCCTGGCGGCTCAGACAGTAAAGAATCTGCCTGCAATGCAGCAGACCTGGGTTCCATCCCTGGGTTAGGAAGATCCCCTGGAGAAGAGAATGGCTACCGACTCCAGTATTTTTTAAAATTAATTAATTAATTTTAATTGGAGGCTAATTACTTTACAGTATTGTAATGATTTTTGCCATACGTTGACAAGAATCAGCTATGGATGTACATGTGTCCCCCATCCTGAACCCCCCTCCCACCTCCCTCCCCATCCCTTCCCTCTGGATCATGCCAGTGCACCAGCCTTGAGCACCCTGTCTCATGCATCCAACCTGGACTGGCGATCTGTTTCACATATGGTAATATACATGTTTCAGTGCTATTCTCTCAAATCATCCCACCCTCACCTTCTCCCACAGAGTCCAAAAGTCTGTTCTTTACATCAGTATCTCTTGCGCTGTCTTGCATATAGGGTCATCATTACCGTCTTTCTAAATTCCATATATATGTGTTAGTATACTGTATTGGTGTTTTTCTTTTTGACTTACTTCACTCTGTATAATAGGCTCCAGTTTCATCTACCTCATTAGAACTGATTCAAATGCATTCTTTTTAATAGCTGAGTAATATTCCATTGTGTATATGTACCACAGCTTTCTTATCCATTCGTCTGCCGATAGATATCTAGGTGGCTTCCATGTCCTGGCTATTATAAACAGTGCTGCAATGAACTTTGGGGTACATGTGTCTCTTTCAATTCTGGTTTCCTCAGTGTGTATGCCCAGCAGTGGGATTTCTGGGTCTTATGGCAGTTCTATTTCCAGTTTTCTAAGGAATCTCCACATTGTTCTCCATTGTGGCTGCACTAGTTTGCATTCCCACTAACAGTGTAAGAGGGTTCCCTTTTTTCTGCACCTTCTCCAACATTTATTGTTTGTAGTCTTTTTGATAGTAGCCATTCTGACCAGCGTGAGATGGTACCTCATTGTGGTTTTGATTTGCATTTTTCTGATAATGAGTGATGTTGAGCATCTTTTCATGTGTTTGTTAGCCATCTGTATGTCATCTTTGGAGAAATGTCTGTTTAGTTCTTTGGCCCATTTTTTGATTGGGTCGTTTACTTTTCTGGAATTGAACACCCAGAGAGATTCACAGAGTCAAGCAGAGAAGAGAAGAGGGAGGCAGGAGATAGATGTGAGCTGGGGGAGAAAAGGCAGTGTCAAAAGGGGAGAGAGAAATCAAACCAGCAATCACACCCCTAAGTAAAAATGGCCAACTCCAGTGTTCTTGTCTAGAGAATTCCACGGACAGAGGAGCCTGATGTGCTACAGTCCATGGGGTCGGATACTACTGAGCAACTGAAACACACACACACAGATGCTATCTGAAGGAGTTGGTGGATGGATTGTGGCTCCAGAGTACCCAACGGGTATGGAGTCAATGTGAGTCCCCATGTGTATCCCAAAGGCCTCTGTTCTGGGAGAAGGGCTGGCCTCAGAGCAGGTTAACTAGCAGCTAAGGAGTCCTCAGTGGCCAGTGAGCCATTTGACTGAGAAAAGCCACAAAATTAGCCTGGCCAGATCAGCTGATGGCTGATGAGAGAAGGAATGAGATGACTCCAGATGGTCTTGTGATAAGCCGTGGTGTTTTAGTCGTTTCCTGGGTAAAATAATGTCAGAAATGGATGTTCAGTGAGTCCCGGTAGGTGCAGCTCCATCAACACACTAATTAGCTGAAGTCACTGGCCCAGCAGGTCGCCCTGCAAGGGGGACATTGACATTGAGGCCCCGTCTTCCAGATGCGGAGACTGCAGCTGTCAGGGCCCACCGATGTGTGACCCGGATGTTGAGACGGGATCTGTCAGGGACCACTCATGTATGACCCGGATGTTGAGACGGGATAAGGGTGAATACGATGAAAGCAGCATTGCACTCCTGTGTCCAGAAAGCCAGGGAGCGAGTTAAGGATAAGAGAAGACGTGTTTCATCAGGGGCTTTTCTCGGAGCCTGGTGTGACGGCTGAGGCTGCCATGGACGCTGGGTGAAGATGCAGCCAGAGCCTGGGGCTGGGAGTAACTGTGTCTCTGAAGCGTTCCTCCTGTGTCCGGTTCAGACACCAGCCCACAGAGGGGCATTGGCAAAGGCGAGGAGGCTCAGTCAGTTAGAGAAGGGAAGGCAGAGTTGAGGTCATGAATCTGTAGGAGAAACCTGAACATGAGCCACAAGACACAGGAGTGGTCCACAGTATTTGATAAGTTGCCACAGAAAAGGGCAATTAGTTATCCTTCGGAAATGGGGAATTTGAAGGGTGGGGATCAATACTTAAGGAGCTTCCTACCAGCTAGTTTGAAAGGCTAAATAAACAAATGAGTAAAGATTTAACTTATAATAGAGGATATGCCTCCTCTCTCCTGAGTTGGTAGGGTCCTGAACAGAATGATCGTTAAGGGTTTTGAGGTGATATCATCCATCCATCAGGTCTCTCCTAAACACAGGGGTTCATCCCACGATATCATAATGATAATATGAACATTGATTGATGGAATTTGATCTGGAAGGATTTGTGTTTTAACATAGTAATTACTAACACCTACTATTTTTGGCCCTTTGCTTACATTACCTTTCTAGGTCTGCCATAACAAAGAACCATACATTGGGCAGTTTAAACAATAGAAATCTAATTCTGGAGGCTGGAAGTCCAAGGTCAAGGTGTGAGAAGGGCTGGTTCCCTCTGAGACCTCTCTCCTCGGTGTACAGATGGCCATCTTCTCCCTGGGTTTTCATATGGTCTGTTCTCCATGCCTGTCTATGTTTGGTGACATGGTATCTGAAAGAGGGCACCTGAGGAGGGTCCAGGCAGTGAGCGTCCTGAGGGCCAGGGGGAGAGGTAGCCAGTGTAAAGGCCCCGAGACAGGCATGTGCACAACAGAGAACTCAGAATAGGTCACAGGTACTGCAGATGGTTTCCTGTGGGCCACATGGATTCTGAATTTGTTTAAAATAAGCTGTTCACATTTTAAACTAGTTGTTTTTCCATATACTTGCAACTTTTCAAAGTTTCATCAATTACTGAGAGCCTTTAAAGAGTCATTTCCGTGGGTCTCCATTGCTGGGGTGTCCTTCCCACCTGGCACAATCCAGTGGCCCCACACACAGCCTGGCCCTGTGCTCCTATGGGCCCCAGGCTTCCGGAGCATGCATACACAAGTGATGCTTTCGAGAAACTTCTAGCTTGAAGAAATGATGTGCCAATTTAAATTGCAGCACTGGATTCTATCAAAAAGTAACATATAAACCTAAGTTCTTGGGCTGTCTGGGGAGAATTCCCCTGCCCTCACTGGCAGCAGGGGTCCAAGTCTTTCCTTTATGGCAATAAAGATGCTTGAGTACAGATTTTATATTCAAGATACTATCTGCTATTAGGTGCCCTTTTCTTTTTCATATGTCAGCTCATCTAATCCAATTGCAGCCTTATTGGCACAGGAATTATTCTGGTTTCTTAGTTGAGGGTACTGGGGTTCTGAGGCATGCATGGGATCACTAATGGCAGATAACCATCCATGCTAGAGCCACATGTTTGATACAATAGGGGTAAAGTTTTAAAAACTATATCTGAGTAAAAAGAGTCAGAGACAGAATTATGTATCTCCCAGGATGCAACTGATTACAGGCACGCAAAACAATACACATTTTACAAACACACACAAAAGGATACACAGTGAATACATTGGAATTGTTCCAATTGGGTAAGGAAAAGAGCATTTTTGGGGTGAAAGAGT